AGCAGGCAGCAGTAGGCTGGTACAGAGGTTTGATGTCTCCATGTGTCAGGCTGTATTGTCAGGAGCAGGCAGCAGTAGGCTGGTACAGAGGTTTGATGTCTCCATGTGTCAGGCTGTATTGTCAGGAGCAGGCAGCAGGAAGCTGGTATACAGAGGTTTGATGTCTCCATGTGTCAGGCTGTATTGTCAGGAGCAGGCAGCAGGAAGCGGGTATACAGAGGTTTGATGTCTCCATGTGTCAGGCTGTATTGTCAGGAGCAGGCAGCAGGAAGCTGGTATACAGAGGTTTGATGTCTCTATGTGTCAGGATGTATTGTCAGTAGCAGGCAGCAGGAATCTGGTATACAGAGGTTTGATGTCTCTATGTGTCAGGCTGTATTGTCAGGAGCAGGCATCAGGAAGCTGGTAAACGGAGGTTTGATGTCTCCATGTGTCAGGCTGTATTGTCAGGAGCAGGCAGCAGGAAGCTGGTACAGAGGTTTGATGTCTCCATGTGCCAGGCTGTATTGTAAGGAGCAGGCAACAGGATGCTGGTACAGTGGTTTGATGTCTCCATGTGTCAGGCTGTATTGTCAGTAGCAGGAAGCAGTAGGCTGGTACCGTGGTTTGATGTCTCCATGTGTCAGGCTGTATTGTCAGGAGCAGGCAACAGGATGCTGGTACAGTGGTTTGATGTCTCCATGTGTCAGGCTGTATTGTCAGTAGCAGGAAGCAGTAGGCTGGTACCGTGGTTTGATGTCTCCATGTGTCAGGCTGTATTGTCAGGAGCAGGCAACAGGATGCTGGTACAGTGGTTTGATGTCTCCATGTGTCAGGCTGTATTGTCAGTAGCAGGAAGCAGTAGGCTGGTACCGTGGTTTGATGTCTTCATGTGTCAGGCTGTATTGTCAGGAGCAGGCAGCAGGAGGCTGGTACCGAGGTTTGATGTCTCCATGTGTCAGGCTGTATTGTCAGGAGCAGGCAGCAGTAGGCTGGTACCGAGGTTTGATGTCTCCATGTGTCAGGCTGTATTGTCAGGAGCAGACAGCAGGAGGCTGGTACCGAGGTTTGATGTCTCCATGTGTCAGGCTGTATTGTCAGGAGCAGGCAGCAGTAGGCTGGTACAGAGGTTTGATGTCTCCATGTGTCAGGCTGTATTGTCAGGAGCAGGCAGCAGTAGGCTGGTACAGAGGTTTGATGTCTCCATGTGTCAGGCTGTATTGTCAGGAGCAGGCAGCAGGAAGCTGGTATACAGAGGTTTGATGTCTCCATGTGTCAGGCTGTATTGTCAGGAGCAGGCAGCAGGAAGCGGGTATACAGAGGTTTGATGTCTCCATGTGTCAGGCTGTATTGTCAGGAGCAGGCAGCAGGAAGCTGGTATACAGAGGTTTGATATCTCCATGTGTCAGGCTGTATTGTCAGGAGCAGGCAGCAGTAGGCTGGTACAGAGGTTTGATGTCTCCATGTGTCAGGCTATATTGTCAGGAGCAGGCAGCAGGAAGCTGGTACCGAGGTTTGATGTCTCCATGTGTCCGGCTATATTGTCAGGAGCAGGCAGCAGTAGGCTGGTACAGAGGTTTGATGTCTCCATGTGTCAGGCTGTATTGTCAGGAGCAGGCAGCAGTAGGCTGGTACAGAGGTTTGATGTCTCCATGTGTCAGGCTGTATTGTCAGGAGCAGGCAGCAGGAAGCTGGTATACAGAGGTTTGATGTCTCCATGTGTCAGGCTGTATTGTCAGGAGCAGGCAGCAGGAAGCGGGTATACAGAGGTTTGATGTCTCCATGTGTCAGGCTGTATTGTCAGGAGCAGGCAGCAGGAAGCTGGTATACAGAGGTTTGATGTCTCTATGTGTCAGGATGTATTGTCAGTAGCAGGCAGCAGGAATCTGGTATACAGAGGTTTGATGTCTCTATGTGTCAGGCTGTATTGTCAGGAGCAGGCATCAGGAAGCTGGTAAACGGAGGTTTGATGTCTCCATGTGTCAGGCTGTATTGTCAGGAGCAGGCAGCAGGAAGCTGGTACAGAGGTTTGATGTCTCCATGTGCCAGGCTGTATTGTAAGGAGCAGGCAACAGGATGCTGGTACAGTGGATTGATGTCTCCATGTGTCAGGCTGTATTGTCAGTAGCAGGAAGCAGTAGGCTGGTACCGTGGTTTGATGTCTCCATGTGTCAGGCTGTATTGTCAGGAGCAGGCAACAGGATGCTGGTACAGTGGTTTGATGTCTCCATGTGTCAGGCTGTATTGTCAGTAGCAGGAAGCAGTAGGCTGGTACCGTGGTTTGATGTCTCCATGTGTCAGGCTGTATTGTCAGGAGCAGGCAACAGGATGCTGGTACAGTGGTTTGATGTCTCCATGTGTCAGGCTGTATTGTCAGTAGCAGGAAGCAGTAGGCTGGTACCGTGGTTTGATGTCTTCATGTGTCAGGCTGTATTGTCAGGAGCAGGCAGCAGGAGGCTGGTACCGAGGTTTGATGTCTCCATGTGTCAGGCTGTATTGTCAGGAGCAGGCAGCAGTAGGCTGGTACCGAGGTTTGATGTCTCCATGTGTCAGGCTGTATTGTCAGGAGCAGACAGCAGGAGGCTGGTACCGAGGTTTGATGTCTCCATGTGTCAGGCTGTATTGTCAGGAGCAGGCAGCAGTAGGCTGGTACCGAGGTTTGATGTCTCCATGTGTCAGGCTGTATTGTCAGGAGCAGACAGCAGGAGGCTGGTACCGAGGTTTGATGTCTCCATGTGTCAGGCTGTATTGTCAGGAGCAGGCAGCAGTAGGCTGGTACAGAGGTTTGATGTCTCCATGTGTCAGGCTGTATTGTCAGGAGCAGGCAGCAGTAGGCTGGTACAGAGGTTTGATGTCTCCATGTGTCAGGCTGTATTGTCAGGAGCAGGCAGCAGGAAGCTGGTATACAGAGGTTTGATGTCTCCATGTGTCAGGCTGTATTGTCAGGAGCAGGCAGCAGGAAGCGGGTATACAGAGGTTTGATGTCTCCATGTGTCAGGCTGTATTGTCAGGAGCAGGCAGCAGGAAGCTGGTATACAGAGGTTTGATATCTCCATGTGTCAGGCTGTATTGTCAGGAGCAGGCAGCAGTAGGCTGGTACAGAGGTTTGATGTCTCCATGTGTCAGGCTATATTGTCAGGAGCAGGCAGCAGGAAGCTGGTACCGAGGTTTGATGTCTCCATGTGTCCGGCTATATTGTCAGGAGCAGGCAGCAGTAGGCTGGTACAGAGGTTTGATGTCTCCATGTGTCAGGCTGTATTGTCAGGAGCAGGCAGCAGTAGGCTGGTACAGAGGTTTGATGTCTCCATGTGTCAGGCTGTATTGTCAGGAGCAGGCAGCAGGAAGCTGGTATACAGAGGTTTGATGTCTCCATGTGTCAGGCTGTATTGTCAGGAGCAGGCAGCAGGAAGCGGGTATACAGAGGTTTGATGTCTCCATGTGTCAGGCTGTATTGTCAGGAGCAGGCAGCAGGAAGCTGGTATACAGAGGTTTGATGTCTCTATGTGTCAGGATGTATTGTCAGTAGCAGGCAGCAGGAATCTGGTATACAGAGGTTTGATGTCTCTATGTGTCAGGCTGTATTGTCAGGAGCAGGCATCAGGAAGCTGGTAAACGGAGGTTTGATGTCTCCATGTGTCAGGCTGTATTGTCAGGAGCAGGCAGCAGGAAGCTGGTACAGAGGTTTGATGTCTCCATGTGCCAGGCTGTATTGTAAGGAGCAGGCAACAGGATGCTGGTACAGTGGTTTGATGTCTCCATGTGTCAGGCTGTATTGTCAGTAGCAGGAAGCAGTAGGCTGGTACCGTGGTTTGATGTCTCCATGTGTCAGGCTGTATTGTCAGGAGCAGGCAACAGGATGCTGGTACAGTGGTTTGATGTCTCCATGTGTCAGGCTGTATTGTCAGTAGCAGGAAGCAGTAGGCTGGTACCGTGGTTTGATGTCTCCATGTGTCAGGCTGTATTGTCAGGAGCAGGCAACAGGATGCTGGTACAGTGGTTTGATGTCTCCATGTGTCAGGCTGTATTGTCAGTAGCAGGAAGCAGTAGGCTGGTACCGTGGTTTGATGTCTTCATGTGTCAGGCTGTATTGTCAGGAGCAGGCAGCAGGAGGCTGGTACCGAGGTTTGATGTCTCCATGTGTCAGGCTGTATTGTCAGGAGCAGGCAGCAGTAGGCTGGTACCGAGGTTTGATGTCTCCATGTGTCAGGCTGTATTGTCAGGAGCAGACAGCAGGAGGCTGGTACCGAGGTTTGATGTCTCCATGTGTCAGGCTGTATTGTCAGGAGCAGGCAGCAGGAAGCGGGTATACATAGGTTGGATGTCTCCATGTGTCAGGCTGTATTGTCAGGAGCAGACAGCAGGAGGCTGGTACCGAGGTTTGATGTCTCCATGTGTCAGGCTGTATTGTCAGGAGCAGGCAGCAGGAAGCGGGTATACAGAGGTTGGATGTCTCCATGTGTCAGGCTGTATTGTCAGGAGCAGACAGCAGGAGGCTGGTACCGAGGTTTGATGTCTCCATGTGTCAGGCTGTATTGTCAGGAGCAGACAGCAGGAGGCTGGTACCGAGGTTTGATGTCTCCATGTGTCAGGCTGTATTGTCAGGAGCAGGCAGCAGGAAGCGGGTATACAGAGGTTTGATGTCTCCATGTGTCAGGCTGTATTGTCAGGAGCAGGCAGCAGGAAGCGGGTATACAGAGGTTTGATGTCTCCATGTGTCAGGCTGTATTGTCAGGAGCAGACAGCAGTAGGCTGGTACCGAGGTTTGATGTCTCCATGTGTCAGGCTGTATTGTAAGGAGCAGGCAGCAGGAAGCTGGTACAGAGGTTTGATGTCTCCATGTGTCAGGCTGTGCTGTCAGGAGCAGGCAGCAGGAAGCTGGTATACAGATTGCTCTACATGCTTCTTGCATCTGTTGGACCTGTCTCTATGTTGGGTTGTTTTTGTATAAATGTTGTGAAACTTTATGAGTCAAGATATATAAGGATGAGATGAAAATGGTAAGGTGGTTTTTGTTTTTGCAGTGTTAAAATAGGCTGTGCCTGAGAAAAGATGTGAGACTGGCTGAGGAGAACCCGACTACACTCACCACATGGAGGACTTCCTCCGTTCATCCAGGCAGGGCTTGGTAGGTACACCCACCTCACACTGTACAACCAGGCAGGCCTTGGTAGTACACACACCAAACACCAGTCCACCAGGCAGGGCTTGGTAGTACAACCACTTCACACTGTACTACCAGGCAGGGCTTGGTAGTACACCCACCTCACACCGTACAACCAGGCAGGGCTTGGTAGTACACGCACCTCACACCGTACAACCAGGCAGAGCTTGGTAGTACAAATACCACACATCATAAAACCAGACAGGGCTTGGTAGTACACCCACCTAACACCGTACAACCAGGCAGGGCTTGGTAATACACTCACTTCACACTGTACAACCAGGCAGGGCTTGGTAGTACAACCACTTCACACTGTACAACCAGGCAGGGCTTGGTAGTACACCCACCTAACACCGTACAACCAGGCAGGGCTTGGTAGTACACGCACCTCACACCGTACAACCAGGCAGAGCTTGGTAGTACAAATACCACACATCATAAAACCAGACAGGGCTTGGTAGTACACGCACCTCACACCGTACAACCAGGCAGAGCTTGGTAGTACACCCAACTCACACTGTACAACCAGGCAGAGCTTGGTAGTACACCCAACTCACACCGTACAACCAGGCAGAGCTTGGTAGTACACGCACCTCACACCGTACAACCAGGCAGAGCTTGGTAGTACACCCAACTCACACCGTACAACCAGGCAGAGCTTGGTAGTACACCCAACTCACACTGTACAACCAGGCAGGGCTTGGTAGTACACGCACCTCACACCGTACAACCAGGCAGGGCTTGGTAGTACACACACCTCACACTGTACAACCACTCAGTGCTTGGTAGTACACGCACCTCACACTGTACAACCAGGCAGAGCTTGGTAGTACACCCACCTAACACCGTACAACCAGGCAGAGCTTGGTAGTACACCCACCTAACACCGTACAATCAGGCAGAGCTTGGTGGTACACGCACCTCACACTGTACAACCAGGCAGGCCTTGGTGGTACACGCACCTCACACCGTACAACCAGGCAGGGCTTGGTAGTACACGCACCTCACACTGTACAACCACTCAGGGCTTGGTAGTACACGCACCTCACACTGTACAACCAGGCAGGGCTTGGTAGTACACGCACCTCACACCGTACAACCAGGCAGGGCTTGGTAGTACACACACCTCACACTGTACAACCAGGCAGGGCTTGGTAGTACACCCACCTCACACTGTACAACCAGGCAGGGCTTGGTAGTACACGCACCTCACACCGTACAACCAGGCAGAGCTTGGTAGTACACCCAACTCACACTGTACAACCAGGCAGAGCTTGGTAGTACACCCAACTCACACTGTACAACCAGGCAGGGCTTGGTAGTACACCCAACTCACACTGTACAACCAGGCAGGGCTTGGTAGTACACCCAACTCACACTGTACAACCAGGCAGGGCTTGGTAGTACACCCACCTAACACCGTACAACCAGGCAGGGCTTGGTAGTACACCCACCTAACACCGTACAACCAGGCAGGGCTTGGTAGTACACGCACCTCACACTGTACAACCAGGCAGAGCTTGGTAGTACACCCACCTCACACTGTACAACCAGGCAGAGCTTGGTAGTATACATACCACACACCGTACAACCAGGCAGAGCTTGGTAGTACACGCACCTCACACTGTACAACCAGGCAGGGCTTGGTAGTACACGCACCTCACACTGTACAACCAGGCAGAGCTTGGTAGTACACGCACCTCACACTGTACAGCCAGGCAGGGCTTGGTAGTACACGCACCTCACACTGTACAACCAGGCAGAGCTTGGTAGTACACGCACCTCACACCGTACAACCAGGCAGGGCTTGGTAGTACACGCACCTCACACCGTACAACCACTCAGGGCTTGGTAGTACACCCACCTAACACCGTACAACCAGGCAGAGCTTGGTAGTATACATACCACACACTGTACAACCAGGCAGAGCTTGGTAGTACACACACCTCATACCGTACAACCAGGCAGGGCTTGGTAGTATACATACCAAACACCGTACAACCAGGCAGAGCTTGGTAGTACAGACACCTCATACCATACAACCAGGCAGAGCTTGGTAGTATACATACCACACACCGTACAACCAGGCAGAGCTTGGTAGTACACACACCTCATACCGTACAACCAGGCAGGGCTTGGTAGTATACATACCACACACCGTACAACCAGGCAGAGCTTGGTAGTACACACACCTCATACCGTACAACCAGGCAGAGCTTGGTAGTACACACACCTCACACCGTACAACCAGGCAGGGCTTGGTAGTACACCCACCTCACACCGTACAACCAGGCAGGGCTTGGTAGTACACCCAACTCACACTGTACAACCAGACAGGGCTTGGTAGTATACATACCACACAATGTACAACCAGGCAGGGCTTGGTAGTACACCCACCTCACACAGTACAACCAGGCAGGGCTTGGTAGTACACCCACCTCACACAGTACAACCAGGCAGGGCTTGGTAGTACACGCACCTCACACTTTACAACCAGGCAGAGCTTGGTAGTACACCCACCTCACACCGTACAACCAGGCAGGGCTTGGTAGTACACGCACCTCACACCGTACAACCAGGCAGGGCTTGGTAGTTCACCCAACTCACACCGTACAACCAGGCAGGGCTTGGTAGTACACCCACCTAACACCGTACAACCAGGCAGGGCTTGGTAGTACACGCACCTCACACTGTACAACCAGGCAGAGCTTGGTAGTACACGCACCTCACACCGTACAACCAGGCAGGGCTTGGTAGTACACGCACCTCACACCGTACAACCAGGCAGGGCTTGGTAGTACACGCACCTCACACTGTACAACCAGACAGGGCTTGGTAGAACACGCACCTCACACCGTACAACCAGGCAGGGCTTGGTAGTACACGCACCTCACACTGTACAACCAGGCAGAGCTTGGTAGTACACGCACCTCACACCGTACAACCAGGCAGGGCTTGGTAGTACACGCACCTCACACTGTACAACCAGGCAGAGCTTGGTAGTACACGCACCTCACACCGTACAACCAGACAGGGCTTGGTAGAACACGCACCTCACACCGTACAACCAGGCAGGGCTTGGTAGTAGACGCACCTCACACTGTACAACCAGGCAGGGCTTGGTAGTACACGCACCTCACACTGTACAACCAGGCAGGGCTTGGTAGTACACGCACCTCACACCGTACAACCAGGCAGGGCTTGGTAGTACACGCACCTCACACTGTACAACCAGGCAGAGCTTGGTAGTACACCCACCTCACACTGTACAACCGGGCAGAGGTTGGTAGTATACATACTACACACCGTACAACCAGGCAGAGCTTGGTAGTACACCCAACTCACACTGTACAACCAGGCAGGGCTTGGTAGTACACGCACCTCACACTGTACAACCAGGCAGAGCTTGGTAGTACACGCACCTCACACTGTACAACCAGGCAGGGCTTGGTAGTACACGCACCTCACACTGTACAACCAGGCAGAGCTTGGTAGTACACGCACCTCACACCGTACAACCAGGCAGGGCTTGGTAGTACACCCACCTCACACAGTACAACCAGGCAGGGCTTGGTAGTACACCCACCTCACACCATACAACCAGGCAGAGCTTGGTAGTACACGCAGCTCACACCATACAACCAGGCAGGGCTTGGTAGTACACGCACCTCACACTGTACAACCAGGCAGGGCTTGGTAGTACACGCACCTCACACTGTACAACCAGGCAGGGCTTGGTAGTACACGCACCTCACACTGTACAACCAGGCAGGGCTTGGTAGTACACGCACCTCACACTGTACAACCAGGCAGGGCTTGGTAGTACACGCACCTCACACTGTACAGCCAGGCAGGGCTTGGTAGTACACACACCTCACACTGTACAACCAGGCAGGGCTTGGTAGTAGACGCACCTCACACTGTACAACCAGGCAGGGCTTGGTAGTACACGCACCTCACACTGTACAACCAGGCAGGGTTTGGTAGTACACACGCCACACACCATACAACCAGGCAGGGCTTGGTAGTGGACACACCACACATCATACAACCAGGCAGGGCTTGGTAGTACACGCACCTCACACCATACAACCAGGCAGGGCTTGGTAGTACACGCACCTCACACTGTACAACCAGGCAGGGCTTGGTAGTACACGCACCTCACACCGTACAACCAGGCAGGGCTTGGTAGTACACGCACCTCACACTGTACAACCAGGCAGGGCTTGGTAGTGCACACACCACACATCATACAACCAGACAGGCCTTTGTAGTATACACACCACACAACGTACAACCAGACAGGGCTTGGTAGTACACACACCACACATCATACAACCAGACAGGCCTTTGTAGTATACACACCACCATCGTACAACCAGACAGGCCTTTGTAGTATACACACCACACAACGTACAACCAGGCAGGCTTTGGTAGTGCACACACCACACACCATACAAACAGACAGGGCTTGGTAGTACACACACCTCATGTTAAAATAGACAGACACAGGTTCTTCATATACACTTGTATTCAAAACGACTGCCAACACAATACATCTCCTGCACCCACACAGGTTGTCACTCAACTGCCTGCCTAGAGCAAACCAAATAGACAGCAGTTTCGTATTCGAGGGGAAGTTTCGTATCAACACATTAACATACTCCCCTTTTTTTCTAAGTATAAAAGGAACTGTACATTCAAACATGAAATATTATCTTTTGTTTTATATGATTGAAATAAAATATTTAGATTTACAACATGAATTAAAAACTGAACTAATAAAAAAGTTTCATATCACAACACTACTTCAGTCCATGAACTGCATTATTTCTTGCAGTTAGACGACAACTGTAACATCACACATGTTAAATGTTCAATTGTCCAGTCTTCAAGATCTCCAGAAGTTTCATCGTAGATGCTCCTCTTTTTGGCAAACTGTCAGCAAGCTGGTCACTTGATTT